AATCTGTAATGTAATGTGTATTAATAAAGATCAACAATATTTAGCTATTGATGAATTAATATGTGTTATATCTCAGAGTATTAATGTAATGTGTATTAATAAAGATCAACAATATTTAGCTATTGATGAATTAATATGTGTTATATTTCAGAGTATTAATGTGATGTGTATCAATAAAGATCAACAATATTTAGCTATTGGATGTATTGATGAATTAATGTGTGTTATATTTCAGAGTATTAATGTAATGTGTATTAATAAAGATCAACAAAATTTAGCTATTGGATGTATTGATGAATTAATATGTGTTATATTTCAGAGTATTAATGTGATGTGTATCAATAAAGATCAACAATATTTAGCTATTGGATGTATTGATGAATAAATGTGTGTTATATCTCAGAGTATTAATGTGATGTGTATCAATAAAGATCAACAATATTTAGCTATTGGATGTATTGATGAATTAATGTGTGTTATATTTCAGAGTATTAATGTAATGTGTATTAATAAAGATCAACAATATTTAGCTATTGGATGTATTGATGAATTAATGTGTGTTATATTTCAGAGTATTAATGTAATGTGTATTAATAAAGATCAACAATATTTAGCTATTGGATGTATTGATGAATTAATATGTGTTATGTGGCAGAGTATTAATGTGATGTGTATCAATAAAGATCAACAATATTTAGCTATTGGATGTATTGATGAATTAATGTGTGTTATATCTCAGAGTATTAATGTGATGTGTATCAATAAAGATCAACAATATTTAGCTATTGGATGTATTGATGAATAAATGTGTGTTATATCTCAGAGTATTAATGTGATGTGTATCAATAAAGATCAACAATATTTAGCTATTGGGTGTATTGATGAATTAATATGTGTTATATTTCAGAGTATTAATGTGATGTGTATCAATAAAGATCAACAATATTTAGCTATTGGATGTATTGATGAATTAATGTGTGTTATATCTCAGAGTATTAATGTGATGTGTATCAATAAAGATCAACAATATTTAGCTATTGGATGTATCGATGAATTAATGTGTGTTATATTTCAGAGTATTAATGTAATGTGTATTAATAAAGATCAACAATATTTAGCTATTGGATGTATTGATGAATTAATATGTGTTATATTTCAGAGTATTAATGTGATGTGTATCAATAAAGATCAACAATATTTAGCTATTGGATGTATTGATGAATTAATGTGTGTTATATTTCAGAGTATTAATGTGATGTGTATCAATAAAGATCAACAATATTTAGCTATTGGATGTATTGATGAATTAATGTGTGTTATATTTCAGAGTATTAATGTAATGTGTATTAATAAAGATCAACAAAATTTAGCTATTGGATGTATTGATGAATTAATATGTGTTATATTTCAGAGTATTAATGTGATATGTATCAATAAAGATCAACAATATTTAGCTATTGGATGTATTGATGAATTAATGTGTGTTATATTTCAGAGTATTAATGTAATGTGTATCAATAAAGATCAACAATATTTAGCTATTGGATGTATTGATGAATTAATGTGTGTTATATTTCAGAGTATTAATGTAATGTGTATTAATGAAGATCAACAATATTTAGCTATTGATGAATTAATATGTGTCATATTTCAGAGTATTAATGTAATGTGTATTAATAAAGATCAACAATATTTAGCTATTGGATGTAATGATGGGTTGATTGCTATAATAGATTGGAAGAAAAACAGATTCCTTACAAGGTACATGTCCTTTGAATAACACCTAAAATGTTTATACATTATTCATCTCTTTTTTAGTAATATTATATTTTGATGCTACATGAATATCAGTATTATCATATATACTGTTTTGACAGAGGAGGAATATTGAGATCAAAAGCTATATTGAAAAACATTCTACATAGCATTATCTCTTGTCTATTGTAAAGGACTAAGATTCTTGACTGTATGGCATGGTATATTTTTGGTAAAGTTCTTAGCTCTGTACTTGTTTCAATCAGTGTCCATGTGAGCTCTTTGTTTGTTTTCTTCCATATTTTGAACTGTATTGCCATCAACTATACAAGAACTAATCTTGACAATTTTAATAGTTGCTATTATATATATGTTTAGTCACAGCCATGAAAAGAATTTAAAGATAACAGCTATTGCTTGGAACCCTTCTGAAAATAATCAGATTGCTTTCTGTGATGTTAAGGTAAGTTGATTCTTTTTATTACAAATTTTCATTATTTCTGATGCATAACTATCTAGTTAGAGTGCCAACTCACTGAAATATTAATAATAATAACATCTAGCACATTAAGCTTTTTAACAAATTCATATTATATTTAATGAATGAACTTCAGCAAATTTTAATTACTCCATACAAAGAACTATTATGGACAGATACTTCTGGAATATTTATTACTTTTAAGTGAAAATTATTAATGTAACTAGAATATTAATCTGGATGTTTATATATGCTTTCAGGGCCAGTTAGGCGTAATTGATGAAGCTGTATCGGAAACTGATAATCAAGTAAGATATTTATTTAATTTTAGTCTTCTTATCCTTCAGGGATTCCTTGTATATCCATAATTATCCACATTTGAAAGTTACATGGACGACTCACCTTATCTTGAAAGTTCTTGTTGCAGCACTTCTTGTTTGATGTATATTTGATTTTCATACTGTTTTAGTACTTCTGTAGGCTATTTCCCTTTTCAAAGCCCAAATCAAACCTGGGAAATGCTGATTGTTACCCTTGGAATTAAGAGTATATAGATTATATTACAGGAAGTAGTGCAGACTACAGAAGGAGAGTTTGAAGGTGTATTTGATGATGATGATGATATGTTAATACAAGCTACTGCTGATAAACAATGTATATTAGATAATGAAGCTAGTGAAGATGGTTTTACATCAACATCTAAACCATTAAAACCCTTGGATGATGACAGTGATGATGGTAAGTATATGTTCATATTTTTCTTAAGGAAATATTACTAGTACCATGTTGTAAGGTTTGCTGGGTATTGCCAATCATGCCATAATATGATACATATCACAATTCAAGGGTCACGATATGTATGGGGTAATGGGATAATTTTGATCAAGGCATTAACAGACTTATTATATTCTTAATCTGAAAAGAAATGTCTCACAGTGTAATATATTTCCTTCACATATGATAATATCTATAATTTAACATTTAAAGTATATTTTGTAGATTTCTTACAAGATGTTAAAAATGACATTGATGATGATAAAAGTAGTATTGTCAGTTCTGTTATACCACCAGTTAGACCTATTACAGATAGTTATAAACCTACCCCATTACAAAAACCATTTCAATCAGCTTCTACACCATTACATCTCTCTAGTAGATTTATGGTAGGTTACATTTGTATATTTCTCTTCAATTTATACATCCAGCAGTATTACTATGAAAAGACATTATCTAATAGTTCTGATATTTTTTTCCTTGTGTATAAAAATATTATAGTTTCATTTAGTAATATTTTGAGTTTCTTGTTGTAATGAAATGAATTTTAAAATTTTTTAATTTGATAAAGAAAAATCCATCCTGTATTTGCAATTATGCAGTTCAATGAATGCATATGCGAACTAACTTTAAACCAATGCAGTACTATGTATATTATACAGAAATGGAATAGTATTGGTATAATCAGACAGTATAATACAGATGAAGAAACATCAATAGATATAGAATTTCATGATTCCTCTACACATCATCCTATGCATATCACCAATAACATGGATTATACCATAGGAGACTTGTCATCACAAGCTGTTGTTTTAGCCTCTCAAGGTGAAGATGGTAATCCAAGGTATTTTTATTTTGATAGTTTTATTAAGTGTAAGTTCAAAAATTCAATTAAAACCAGGAATTATTAAGTACTCATTCTATCTTAAAGGGATATTGTCATCTAAAATTTGCTTTAGCAGCCAAAATGGCTTGATTTAGGCGTCTGTCACACTTTCAAAATTTAAATTTAAATTTGAGCTCTTTTACAATTTAAGAAAAAAAAAAAAAAATACTGTGTATGTTTGACTGATATCAATTAGCAATGATCACTAACAGGTTATTATTAATAATAAGGTGCAGTTATTGTCTGTAAGACTCATAACTCTGTCTGCAATTGTTGATAATTCCTAAGGAGAGACAATAGATGTTATTGATGTATAGTTACCATGTGTGAGAAATTTGGTTAGCATCAGAGTAATTTGTATTTATTACACTTCAGTAAATTAACATGTCTCCATTTTGGATCCTGGGATAATTGTAAAGAATGGACAGTTACAATGGATGATGATGAAGATATTCAGGTATTAATAATACATTGTTCACTTATATTACGTTGTGCAGTACTAGTATAATTTTTTTATAATTGTTTTGAGTACTTAAATACTTTGAAAAAAATAGCTAACCATGAATTTACTCCTCACAATTGCCATTCAATGATAAACGGACGAATTTGGTACCCAGAAAATAATACCATATTGCAACACATTATGCATTATTATGATTATGTTATTTGTAGGCAGTAACTATAGGTGATAACTGGTTAGCTATTGGTACCTCATTATGCATTATTATGATTATGTTATTTGTAGGCAGTAACTATAGGTGATAACTGGTTAGCTATTGGTACCTCATTATGCATTATTATGATTATGTTATTTGTAGGCAGTAACTATAGGTGATAACTGGTTAGCTATTGGTACCTCATTATGCATTATTATGATTATGTTATTTGTAGGCAGTAACTATAGGTGATAACTGGTTAGCTATTGGTACCTCATTACGTAACATTAGATTATTTACTATAGCTGGTATTCAACTTGATATATTGACTATACCAGGTCCTATCATTACCATGGCAGCTAAAAATAACAAACTGATTATTGTCTACCATAAAGGAATGGGTAAGTTTCAGTCCAAATGGTTTTTGCAATAGTGTCGTAGTAGTATGATTTGATCAAGATTTGAACACAGACTTTAGACAGGAAACTGTAAAGGTGCTAATAAAAGCTTTAACTGATAAGCATATACAAAAACAAGTATAAAATCCCTTTTGAATCCCTTTGATTTCATGAGTAAATGTAATTTGAATTGTGAAAGATGACTACTGATGTATATTGTCCCCATCTTTTGTTATTATTTTATGACTCAATCAGTTGCAGAAATGTAGCTCTTTCTCCTAATTTCTTCTAATTATGATGTAAGTATTATAAATTTGTATGTATTGTAGGTATAGTAGGTGATCAATTATTGGGTGTGACATTATTATCTATAGGACGCAATGTTAAAACAATATTTAATAATTTAACACTACCACTATCTCCTAAATCAACACTCACATGGATTGGGTAAGTTTTTTATTTATTTGAATGGAGAAACAATTATGTTTTATAACAAACAAATGAATTTTTTGGCTTCAGAAGCACTCATAGGGATTGTAAAAAGGTTTTTCTAAATTTTGTATGTTTATCGAGGACACTGATAGCATTAATTTGCACCATTCAAATTTTCAATCAGGTGTCTGTGGTTCCTGCAATTCCACTAAACCTATGTGTTTGATCTCTATGGATTCATTAGGTATATTACGTATTTATAATACATCAATAGGTTTACAATGGACACAAGTTGCCAATACTAAAGATCATGTAAGTCTTGTGCCACGTTTCTCCAGATTAACTTTGACAAAGGCAATACTAAGAATTAAGAATAGAATATCCAGTCTGCTTATCACATAGGAGGAACATGTATGGCCAGATTTGTCAGACAAGGACATTATTTTAGTGGTTACTTATTATGTATCTTCATACATGTACCTTGAAGTAACAATATCATACCTAAATTAGATTATATGTTATGGTATGACTATTTTGATGAAATATCTAACAATATTATCTAGAATTGTACATGTACCTTGAATTATTTGTAAGTAACTATGATTTATTTACAGGCTAAAGGTAAATCTGATCATTATTGGATTGTCAGTCTTCATGAAAGTCCACAACAATTAAGGTGAGTGCTATAGTTTGCTACAAATTTATAAGGTTTAATTAACATTAATGTTTTAGATGTATTCCATCTTGAAGATAATAGTATTTATGATATATTTTAGATGTATTATTATACTATGTTAAAGATAATTGTATTAATGTTATACTTTAGATGTATTAATGTTATATTGAAGATGCATTATGTATACTATGTTAAAGATAATTGTATTAATGATATATTTAAGATGTATTATTATACCATGTTAAAGATAATTGTATTAATGTTATATTTTAGATGTATTATTATACCATGTTAAAGATAATTGTATTAATGTTATATTTTAGATGTATTAGATGTATTAGCTATACTATGTTAAAGATAATTGTATTAATGTTATATTTTAGATGTATTATGTATACTATGTTAAAGATAATTGTATTAATGATATATTTAAGATGTATTATTATACCATGTTAAAGATAATTGTATTAATGATATATTTAAGATGTATTATTATACCATGTTAAAGATAATTGTATTAATGTTATATTTTAGATGTATTATTATACCATGTTAAAGATAATTGTATTAATGTTATATTTTAGATGTATTAGATGTATTAGCTATACTATGTTAAAGATAATTGTATTAATGTTATATTTTAGATGTATTATGTATACTATGTTAAAGATAATTGTATTAATGATATATTTAAGATGTATTATTATACCATGTTAAAGATAATTGTATTAATGTTATATTTTAGATGTATTATTATACCATGTTAAAGATAATTGTATTAATGTTATATTTTAGATGTATTATTATACCATATTAAAGATAATTGTATTAATGTTATATTTTAGATGTATTATTATACCATGTTAAAGATAATTGTATTAATGTTATATTTTAGATGTATTAGCTATACTATGTTAAAGATAATTGTATTAATGTTTTAGTTTTATACCATGTTAAAGATAATTGTATTAATGTTATACTTTAGATGTATTATGTATACTATGTTAAAGATAATTGTATTAATGTTATATTGAAGATGAATTATGTTTACTATGTTAAAGATAATTGTATTAATGATATATTTAAGATGTATTATTATACCATGTTAAAGATAATTGTATTAATGATATATTGAAGATGTATTATGTATACTATGTTAAAGATAATTGTATTAATGTTATATTGAAGATGAATTATGTATACTATGTTAAAGATAATTGTATTAATGATATATTTAAGATGTATTATTATACCATGTTAAAGATAATTGTATTAATGTTATATTTTAGATGTATTATGTATACTATGTTAAAGATAATTGTATTAATGATATGTTTAAGATGTATTATTATACCATGTTAAAGATAATTGTATTAATGATATATTTAAGATGTATTATTATACCATGTTAAAGATAATTGTATTAATGATATATTGAAGATGTATTATGTATACTATGTTAAAGATAATTGTATTAATGTTATATTGAAGATGAATTATGTATACTATGTTAAAGATAATTGTATTAATGATATATTTAAGATGTATTATTATACCATGTTAAAGATAATTGTATTAATGTTATATTTTAGATGTATTATGTATACTATGTTAAAGATAATTGTATTAATGATATGTTTAAGATGTATTATTATACCATGTTAAAGATAATTGTATTAATGTTATATTTTAGATGTATTATTATACCATGTTAAAGATAATTGTATTAATGTTATATTTTAGATGTATTATTATACCATGTTATATTTTAGATGTATTATTATACCATGTTAAAGATAATTGTTTTTATGTTATATTTTAGATGTATTATTATACCATGTTAAGGATAATTGTATTAATGTTATATTTTAGATGTATACCATGTAAAGGATCACGCTATCCACCAACATTACCCCGTCCTGCTGTAGCTATATTACCATACCAATTACCATTATGTGAAATGACCACAGAGAAGTCACAATATGAGGTATTTATTTCAAATTCGAAGTCTACAGTATTTTCTGAAGTTAAATTGATTTCCAATTTGACCCGACCTTTCAAATGTGTTCATATTAGGGCAGCCCTGTGTCTGAGAATATCAATTATCAATTAATATGACATGGGTATATTCAACCAAATCAGCAGAATTGATATGTTAGTTTAATTCAGGATATGAGCAATGCTGGTAGCCAGCAATGGCTAATTTGGCTTTCAATGCTTGACATTATGAAACTCTTTGCTTTCATCTCTTTTAGCAGTGTCACCTTTAGATCATAATTTTGTTTATGCCAATGTGTTCAATCACTGAATTTCATATTGGAGTGGGTTAAACACTGAATTTAATTCCAAAGGCACAGCCAGTGCTGTTGAGACTAGGTCTGGTGTAGACCTCATTTTTTAAATATACCGGTACTTCATTTTCTAATGAAATAATGTGTAATATTTAAGGAATGTTTATGGAGAAATAGAATATTTAGTTATAATCTACCAGTAAATAGTTATGACAGAGATGATATATTGAAGGAATCAGAAGGTGCTTTGATGAAATTATTTGCTGTAAGTAGCATATCATTCTTATTTCATCTGGTGTGGAGGTTACTCCATCTATCTCAGAAGACTACTTAATAAATATATTCAAGACCCAAATCAACTCTTGAATATGGAGAAATATAAACTTTAAACAGTGTATTTGAAGAATGAAACTTCTTGTATGTTTTTTTTTTTTTAACTCAATCTTCGACATCAAAAACACTGATTTGATATCTGTATATGTATATTAACAGTTATCAGCTAAAGCTGACAGAGAACATAGAGCTATAGAAGTATGTAAATTAATGTCTGAAAACACTTTACAATTGGCTATAAAATATGCCAGTAGAGTTCGTAAATTACAACTAGCAGAAAGAATTAGTCAGTTAGCTCAAGAAAAAACACAAGAAGAAGATGAAATTGAAGAAGATAATTTATTACATACCAAGTGAGTAATGGGTCAACATCACTTTATGACTTTTCAAAACACTGTTTACTTTGTATGACGTGTGGCACATCTATTGACATTACTTTTATTTATCATTAATATAGAGAGATAACATAACATTATTGGTGAGATACATGAAACATTAAAACTATTTATTATTCCTTAGAAAAGATAACATTACCATTACTTGCCATTATTATTTAGATACATGTAACACTAGAACTCTTTTATCATTACCAAGAAAGATAACTTTACTATGACTTACCTTTATTAATTAGATACATGTAACATTAGAACTATTTATCATTCAAAGTATTTATAATTCCTAGTAAGATGATATTACATCATGATATTTATCTTTATTATTAAATACATGTATCATTTCAACTATTTATCACACTTACAGAAGGATAATATTGCAATTATTTATCATTATTATTGAGATATATGAACTATTATTCTTGCAGAAAGATAACATTACCATTATTTGTCATTATTAATAAGATACATGTAACATTAAAACTATTCATCACAGAAAGATAACATTACCATTATTTATCTTAATTAACCATTATTTATCATTATTGCAGTGAAATAACAGACTGGTCTAATGCCAATGGTCATAATGATAATAATGAAGAGGAGATGGAAGAAGAAAATGAGGAAGAAGAAGAAACTATAAATGAAGATGATAATGATGAAGAAGAAGAAAAACCAGTTGGTAAGTTTTATCATCTATGGAAATGACATGATGGTTGAAATATTTCTTGTAATAAGAAAAATACAATTTTAAAAATATATTCTGTCTTTGGTTGTTCTTGAGCATAGAGAAATTTTTAAATCATTAATGAGGTAATGTTTGGTTTTCAATCCCTTTCTTAGGTATAAATTTCTTCAGATTGTCAGGTAATGATAAATTTTATGTGAAAATATGATTTTATTAGACTCATTTCTTTCATTCAATTTTATTTTGTTTCAACATTCAAGTACGATTTTTTTAAGGTCTACTGATAGGATCAAAATCTAAACCATCAAAACCTGCACCACCTACTATAGTTGGAAGATCTAATCCATTTAAGGTATTCATTAGTATTTTCGATTACATGACCATCATCCAGTCTGATTATAATGCAAATCTACATCTCATTCCCTTTTTTTTTAAGAGGAGTAAGCATGGTCTGTTTACCATATTGAAGATTTTTGTACTTAAAAGCATTCCGCTTTTTTTGTAAAACATTATCAAAACCATCGTAAAGTATACCTGAAAATATTTCTAAAGTATGTTATTTATATTTACGTATCAACTTGATCAAACTGACTTTGTTTTAAAAGGGTTGATTAAAAATGGAGAGTACTAATTGTTAATCAAGCAGTTTGACCTAGTTTTGGTGTTTGGCTTAATAATGAGTCGATATTATAACTTGAACCCTTCAAAAAAGGAGGAGACATATTTCTCTACAATAAGTCATTTATTTCACTTAAATCAGTACAGTATTTTTCTAACAACTTCTCAAAAGCTCTACGAACTTTGAAAGATTACGTAAACTGTTTAATTAGTTTTGGCATTAAAAAATTATCAGTAGGATTTTTTTATTCAAAACTTTCAGATAAGTTAAGGGATACATTTCTGTAGATTTTGGTGTATAGTTTTCACAAATTTGAGCAAAAAAAAATTTTTGACCTACAAAAAAAAGTGGATTTAAAATGTGCTGTGAACTAGAAATATTACAACAGAGCCTGATATATGTTGTTACCCAAAGTTTTACGCTGTGCAATCTTCAGACAACTGACTATTTCAATGTTCCAATGATGATTTGACGAGCAATACTTATTGTAAGTTATATTCATTCAAGGTCAGTACCCAAGAAAAGATTAAGAAACAGAATGTTAAAGGAACACAGATATTTGATGGAATGAATAAGAAAATTGAGAAAACAAAATCATCCCCATTCATGCCCATTACTACCAAAATATCTAAATCTAACCAGAAAAAGGTAAATAAAGGAAATATTTGTATTTGTATAATTTTCTTTTATGGAAAACTGAAAAGTTTGGCCATTTGACATTTATTTTAAATGGAAATTTTTCAGAATTGATGTTTTTTGAGTTTTCTTTTTGTCCTCATAAAGCATTAGATATATAAGGAATGTTTCTGTACCATTTCAATCTGTAGGTACCATCACAGACTAAAATATTTACTGCCAAAGGAGACAAAGTGAATAAAACTGAAACAGATAAAGTTTCTAAAAAGTAAGTCTATCCTATGTTTAACTTAGTTATTATTGAAATTTAAACCTTGATTTCCTATTCAAATATTAGTTTACTTTTTTCTTAATCTTAAATACAGAGATAATTAATTTAATTCATTAGATAATTAAACTATAAATAAAATCCATTTTAGTGATTGACCAATCTGATGATACAAACATCAATCATCTCAAGATAAGAATATGACCAAAATTAAGATTTTACGCCCAATTTCCAGGCCAAGTAGATGATCAATATAACATTAAGGATATTACTTTTAGGCTAAATACTGACATCCAGAATAAAATAATTTATTCATCACTGTCTTTGCTTAATTTCATTTCATTAGAACACCTAATGCTTTTGAATTGTGGTTAGAAGAAAATAAAGATGATTTAAAGGAAGAAAGTCCTGAACTAGATGATGAAGGGTTTGGTATAATGGCAGCTGAGAAATATAGAGCATTAACTAAAGATGATAGACAGGTCAGTCAATAATAGAGTAGAAATATCAACTGTGCTCAACCAGGACTGATTTAAAACACAAAACAACCAGTCCACTTAATTTTTGAGGCAGTCTAACAAAACCACAGACTTTGTGTAAGTTTCGAATCAGACCCAGATAAGAATAAATATCAGTTCAATTGTACTAAGTTTCAGGAAGTTTTTTCAAAATATGGAGAGATAAAAATGTGATAGAGAAAAGCAATAAAGGCATTGGGTTTATGTCGGGTATATATATATAGTCATCACACACTTTGTTGACATCTGATAATTTGTTCCGTGCAAGAATTATGACAGTTTTTCACCATTTAAAACATAGGACCAGAGCAATAAGGGCTGTGATTGTTCCTTTTGTTTACATTCTGAAATTGGCATCTCACCTCACTCCTCCACAAGTAACTTGGAGTTAATGGGAGTATAGTAAAGCTATATTTTCTATACATTTCCCAACCACTATCAATCTATTTCTAAAAAGACAATTAATCCTAAGCATAAGAACATATTTTACTAAAATTAAAACAAAAATATTAACTTGTTTCATAAATTACAAAATCACACGAATAACAGTATTTATGTTAATTTTTTAGATATGGATTCAAAAGGCAAAAGCTATATTTTCTATACATTTCCCAACCACTATCAATCTATTTCTAACAAGACAATTAATCCTAAGCATAAGAACATATATTTTACTAAAATTAAAAGAAAAAACTTGTTTCTTAAATTACAAAATCACAAGAATAACAGTATGTATGTTAATTTTAGATATGGATTCAAAAGGCAAAAGAAATGAAATCATCAGGGGCAAATGAAAACTGTGAGCTGAAAAAACGCAAACGTGAAGAAGAAGAAATAACCAGTAATAAAAAGTCAAATATTAATGCTGATATTGTGAAAAAACCTTTGTCACAACAAACTAACTCAAAATTATCAAACTTTGCATTTTCAAAAGATTCATAGTACATTATTATTTTTATAACTTAATTTGTATGATATAAAAGATGTTATAGACCTCTAGTGACCTAGTTATTTTGGGATTTTAAATCTAATATGTCAGTCCCCAGAATTTTGTATAGAAGATCAGACTTGCTGATGGAGTGAAATTTAGTTTGGGGATAATAATATAAGTAAGATAAAATAATTGCCATCTGGTTGTTACATTAAAACTGTTTTCCTTAGAAAATACAAATGGATGCCAGTTATAAATATTACTAAGAACTCCCAAAGACAATTTCATGGCATCATATCGTTGTTACTATGCCTTGAAAATATGGAATTGAAACATGTTGGCAGTATATATTAACAGTGTTGATCTACTTAAACTATATTTATATTTAGTACTATTCTTAGGTAATATGCATTCAGCCCCGATTTATACAAAAATATACAGATATTACATGTACAAAATATATGTTTCAGACAACTATTTATGTTCAATTATACTTAAAATGATACTACCGTTACTAAGAGGAACAATATATTTTGAAAAATAACAATGATCAGAAATGCTCCATCCTTTTATAATCTTGTTGGGGTCCATGCCTTAAAGTCTATACCTCTTCCGTTTGTATAATGACCCCCTGCTCACCACGGGGAGGTGGAAGTAGGAATTTGAGCAGGATAAAAAAAAAAGAATTGTATGTTCACTGTGCAGTTGTTTTCATCATAGTCACAAGAATGACAGGTCAGGTGATTTGTTTATTTCGAAATGCAGTGGGGTTGGGTAGGTATTTTTTTTTTTAATTTCCCTTTTTTTTTTTTATATTTCTCATAAATAAGATCTCTATTATTATGTCTATAGACTGTACATTATTATATTATGTCTTGAAAACTATTTTTTATTTTTTTATATTATCTTAATTTGATGTCTTTTTTCATGACTAAGTCTACGGCAATAACTCAAAATCTGATGAACGGTTTTTCAGTTAAAATCGCGTCAAAATTTTTTTTTAGGCACAATAGAAGCTACAATTTTCAATGGATTTTGATGAAAGTTGGTGTGAGCATTGGGATATTAATAAGATAGCAGTCAAGTTCGAATTTGACGATTTTCCGATGAATGGTTTTTGAGTTATTGCCCTTGACTTTGTAAAATCGTCACCAAATTTTATCAAAATCCATCAAGAAACCAACTGTCTATAGTGTCCATTACCAAATAAATAAAAAAAATTAAACGTGTTTTCAAGAACAACGGCAATAACTAGGGCTGCAACAACGAAGAATTGATGAACAGCGATTCTTTCTTTCTTATCGGTGCATTGCATTGGATAAAAATAATCATCATGTATCAGCACAATTAATTCTTAGCCCCCCTTTAATAACAAATAACACAGAATCCTTGTGTGTATAAGAAATTGTGTTCATTTTCCAAGTATGATTTTCACATAAAAATTTGCAAAAGATCATTTCTGACTTTGAAAATTTGAGATTTTTTCCACAATTATGTTCTCAATTAATAGGGACAAAATTGTTAGTATTTTTACAAATGTCTACTATTTTTTCTCTTTACTTCTCCAATAAATGAATCGCGATTGTCACATTCTGAAGATTCTAAAAATAATGAAGTAACAAATGAAATATTTTAAATGTTATTGCCTTGTTAATGAAATCTCAAGCATATCGTGTTGATAAAAATAGACTTCTTAATCCACCAATGCATTTCTTATCATCATTACTTTTCAAAATCATTGTACTTTGTATACTGGATGTTTAAATACATTGACAATAACGTCAAAACTTGTATCAAGAAACTTATAACATTTTATGAGAAATTCATATTTTAGCAATATATGTCTATTATTGAGTAAATGTGTGAGAAATAAACACAAAAAATATAAAATTTGTGCATTTTTTAAACACAGTACACTCTGGAATAGCAGTCAATATTTTAACTAATAAAGCAAAATAACAAATAGATAATTTAAGTAAATGCAAATATAATGATAAAATGTTGTACGGTCAAAGCAGCAAGATTTAATGATCACTATATTCAGGAATTGAACAAAGCCTTGGGAAAATCAACGATAGCTTGCCAGGCAAGGTAATATACTGGCGGCTGTCAGAAATGATTGAACACAAGTCGCACAATATAGCTAATAGAGTGAAACGTCAAGTCAGACACAATATTTCGGTGAAAAATTATCAGATCATCACGAAAATCGATAGGGATCATCTTCATAATGACATTGACACACAAAATCAAAAGAATCTGTAAAGAATTGTTGCCTGTAGAGTGAGCACGAACCAAATGTGAACGGACGCACGGACAGGGTGATTACAATATACGCCCATCTTATGTATAAAAATCAAGCAAAGGTTTATTAAAATGTCTTAATTTTAACATCATCGTGTTCAAACCAAACCCCCTACTGTATTGGTAGCAAATTGCAGCCAATCAAAACAAATCACTCGTTAATTAAGCGCTTTGTTTGCGAACTTTAACAAAATGAAAGCATAGTGGCATTATATATTTTGATGAATATGTACGGTACAGATTGAGAAAGATTTTCGTACGAGAATTAAAGCCGAGAAGAAAATCAAACCTTACTTTGGATTATTTACTTGGACAGAATGTGTTCTTATCTCTTCAAACGGGCGGCGGCAAAGCAGTGTTGTTGTTTGTTTACATTTACCTAATTTCTCTTCTACCAATCTGACTTATCAGATTTAAATTTCACCAATCTGATTTCCATGCCTCCAAAACGAAGTGTAGTGGACTTAGTTTAATACGGGGTAATAAGACCATGTTAAAACCCCTATTCGTGATGTGATGTTACTACATATGCTTTGCATGAAATTGTTGACTGTCATAATGCAAATGTACTGCAACTTTTTTAATAATAAAACGGTGAAAGAGTCATTTAATAAGTCTCTTGTTATCAGCTTAGAATACAATAATTTACCACGTAAAATAAACTTTTTTGTTTGTTTTTAACAGACAAAAATATTTTGTCCTCACCCTTTCAATATGTAGTAGACAGTAAACTAAATAATGGTTAAACACAATCAACATAATAGCAAATATAACTTATATTCTTGAGGGTTATGGTACAAATTGTGGGCATAGTATTTCCTACATGGTATATGTATACACATTTAGAGGGTATAAGAAAAGAGAGAAAAATTCATATCATAGTCTTGACATCTTAGCCAGTTATCATCTAGCGTAAATTAATATCTTCAGAAGTTAAGCTTTTATGAGGGTATTTCTAAAAAAAAACCTGTGAGGGACTAGGTAGAAAGGTCAATTTAAATGAATTGTAAAGAGGGTTTCTAACTTTTGTATGTGTATTGAGAACACTGTCAGCATCGATTTGCAATTTTCCAATTTTCAATCATTTAGACGTCTGTTTCTTGCAATTGGGCTAAAACTGGGATTTTATGTCACTATCAAATGCTGCATTCACACTGAAAGCTATATGAAACTGATTTCCGGAATTCACTTTCGTTAAAGCACATTCAATTTGGTAGCTCACACTACACTCTGAAGCGATTTGATGCGAACAAAATGTGTCACATTGAGAGCGCTATGACCGGGTATATACCAATTAAACTTCTTACAGAGAGTGAAGGTCATTCATTCCAAGATGGATGTGCCCGCGAATCAAAATGATCAAGACATGCCAAATGGAAGAATTCAGCTTCTACTGTACTTTATATTTGTGTTCTTTTGGCACAGTGGCCGTAGATGGACATTGAGAATTAATTAGCGGGCTGAAATCAGTTTGAAATTGGTTTTCGCTAGTGCGATTTGAGATCAGTTCAAAGTGGTTTCAGTGCTATGTGTTGATGTGCTCTAAGGCTTTAAATGGCTTTAAAACTTCTAGAGTGAACATGACTATTAAGTTTCTTATATAATCTATAACAGATATTACGATAATGATTTCATAAAACAGCTAGTTATATTGGAATTTCAAGAACTATAGACGTCTGATTGAAAATTTGAATGGTGCAAAACAAATCAAATCATTGTTCCCGATACACATAAAGTTTAGATGAACAAGCAAGAGCCTTAACACAGTCTGTGAACCATTTCAAAAGAAAAGTATTCACTGATATGAGAAGAATTTTTTCCACTGCTTTTATGAACACCAAATGTATATACATATACCAAGATAATAAAGTAATCATCATATCTTGCTCTATCAAAAATTCGCCAGACCTCCAGTATCAACATTACAGCGTATAAAAAGGGTGTCATCTTTAAGATAACTATTACTTTTGTTTTCCAGTACGTTATGACTGACAAATAATGGACACCCTGATGCCACATTCATCTCTGATGTAGGTCGTCTAAAACTTGTACTACTGATATCAGGGTGAAAATGATCACTTAAGTGACGACCTTCACGACTTTGATCCAGAATATACAAAGTGACTTTCTGCTGAAAGGGCCAGGGCAACAGAGAATCAAATTCTCCTCCCATGACAACAAAAAATAAACTCAGATGTGTATTCTTACCCATTCCATCTCCATTGAGATATGTTCTAATACACATCTTGTATCCATATTTACTAGTATAGAATGGTTGGGAATATAGAGATAAGGTTCTCCCATTTACAGCATCCTGTTTCCTTCTATAATAATCTTTAATCTTCCAAATAATAACACCATTATAGCTGGCTGTCTCCATAATTTGAAATCTTAAATCCATTTCTGCTATTCTAACATCATGGTTTCCCAACTGTCTGTCATGAGCAGATAACTGACTTGAAAATGCATCTAAATAAAATAAGAATTATGTCACAGTTTTGCAAACATTTTGATACACATCAAAAAATGTTTGCTTGATGACTAATTTTTTATGAAGGCAATACAAGTATTTTTATTTTTCTTTTAAGTAATATTTCAATTCAATGCTATTAATGAGATAGCTTGCCAAGCAAGGTAATATACGCCCACTGGCAGCTTTGATTTTAAATAAAATATTTGGCAGTACAGTACCAGTATGAAATATTCAACCTTCAGACATACACCCCCTCTTTTTTGAGGCGATACTGAATAATATTACCAAGT